AAGCTATCCCTGAGCATCATCTAGTCAGCACTGTCCATGTTTAGGGTCTTCCCTGACCTTCAGGTGCCCTTTTCACTTTGGTCTTAGACCCACTTCTCTTCTCTCAGACTCTCTAGGAACAGCCATGAGCCAATGAACATGTTCTCTCTCTGAATCTGAAAATGGCCATTTATCCAAGTTCATAGTTAAAGAGACACACTGGCACTTTATGTTATTTATTCCTAATGTCCTCCTTTAAAGCGGGGGCTCAGCCCATCCTCCCTGGGTTAATGTTTTATTGCTATAATAATAATTTCACCTGATGTTTCTTGACTACTGGTCAGTATTGCTGTATGCCAGACCCTTCAAGAACTTGTCTCAGTTCTCTAGTGCTTCTGAACCAGAAATACCCCACACAAGTGACTTTGAAGAACAGAAACTTATTTTCTTACAGTTTGGGAGGCTAGAAGCCCAAATTCAGGGCATGTCTAGGGGATGTCCTTCCTTGTTGAATTCAGCTTCTAGTTATTGTTGTTGTGAAGTGCCATCGAGTCAATTCCGACCCATAGTGACCCTGTATAGGGTTTCCAAGGAGCAGCTGGTGAGCTTGAACCTCCAACCTTGCAGTTCAAATGACCTTATAGTCTGACGCATTAACCCACGTCACCACACCAGGACTCCTCAGCTTCTATTGTTGTTGTTCCTGGACTTTTATTCATCAGTGCATCTCTTTCCATCTTTTGTTTTCTTCCCCCCCCCCCCCCCCCTGTGTGTCTCTGTGCCTATTCTACTTTTTATAAACATTCAGAAGTGATTAGCACACTCTGCTTTGATATGGGGTCCTGGTATGGCACTGTAGGCAAAACACTGAACTCCTAACTGGAAGATTGGCCGTTCAAACCTACCAGCCATTCCCTGGAAACCCTTTACAGGGTCGCTATGAGTCAGAACTTACTGGATAGCACTTAATAACAGCACCAATTTTAGTATGTCCTTATTAACATATCAGAAGAAACCCTCTACTTCTAAATAGGGTCATACTTATAGGTACATGTGTTAGGACTTCAACACATGTTTTGGGGTGGAGGGGACACAATTTAATCCATTACTAAGACTTATTTTTTTAAATCTTACAGTATTTCTCATCTCATTCTTATCTCATGTAATTCCCACACAATCCCCTAAGGAATTTGCTGTTGTTGTTTGGTGCTGTTGAGTCAATTCCGACTCAGTGACCCTGGATAGGGTTTACAAGGAGCAGCTGGTAGGTTGAACTGCCAAACTTGTGATTTGCTGTCTAGTGCTGCTCCTACAGCGCCACTTAAGTAGGTACTGTTAATAGCTTGATTTTACAAATGAGGAGACTAAGGCCTAAAGACATTAAGCAACCCATTTCTGAGGTTTCCCAGGCAACAAGTGGAAAGACCAGGATCCAAACTTAGAGGGCTGGTGCTTTAAGTCTGCCGTAAACATGGAAACTCAGAATGCTCTGTGTGGCGATACAGCAGACCTGTGTGAATATCCGTTTGTCCACGCAGCCCTGTGTGTATATCTGCCTGTGCATTTTCAGGGAACAGCAGCTGGATGCTTGGAGAAGGTCCCAGTGAATGTGCTGATGGGTGAGCCCCAATTTCTTGATTGAGCTTCGGTGCCCAGGTCATGGAATACGCAAAGTCAGAATTGTTTTCCCTCCAATGGCTTGCCCCTTCTAAGAATAAGAATGGCTCTTTGCCAGGTCCTTTTAAAGCCATTTCTAAGTTATGCAGAAATTAAATGGGTTTTCACTGCAGGACATGAAACATAATCCAAGAAGGTCATGCATGGGACCATCACCCCTTCCTCTCTTTCTACTGTCTTCTTTTCTTGGATCTATCTTTTAAATCCTCTGAGCCTATGCTCAGAGAACCTTCACCCTGGACCATGTGGCGTGGGTGGGGGAAATGTCCTTGCCTCCCCATGGCAGGGAGCTGGAGAGCTGACATTCGCTCAGGAGCGGTGTGGACTCTATGCAGGATGTACTGGCCTCTTGGAGCTTGTCTGTCCCTTCTTGCAGCAGGAGCCTCTGGCCCTAGTGGAGTGTTTTGTTCAGGATTCCAGACTTGGTTTTCATACTATGCAGTGCTCTTGTTGGGTCTGGAGAGAGAAAAAGGGTGAGGGAGAGAACCTCCTAAAGATCTCCTCGAGTCCTGTAGCAACAGGGTGGGCATGTCAGGGCTGGGCTGGCTTCACTGAGCCCAGTGTCTGGTGGTTCAGTACCCTGGGTTTATACATGTGACATCGCATCTCAAATATGACTCCAATAAAGGCATTTCAGAGAGATGACAACTTACAAAAGGATAGGAAGAGCAAGGGGGAAAATAAATGATGCTGGATCCCCCAGAGACCAGCGACAATGGGAAACTCTTCCTACCTGTAGGGCTGAAGTTGTTGATATTTATTGTTAAGTGCCGTCTAGTCAGTTCTGACTCATAGTGATCCTGTATAGGGTTTCCAAGGAGTGGCTGGTTGAGTTTGAACCAACCTTTTGGTCCAGTGTTTATCCTACAGGGCCACACCAGGAGTGATTTAGTACTACAGTTTAAAAAACAAAAACACACCCATTGCAGTTGATTCTGACCCAGGGAGATCCTACCTGTTATGTAGTAGAATTGAGCTCCATAAGATTTTCTTGGCTGTGTTGTGGATTAAAGTACTAGACTGCAAAGTCATTTTGAACCATAAGGTCGGCAGTTCAAGCTCACTAGCTGCTCCTCAGAAACCCTGTACTAGGTTGTTATGGTTGAAACCAACTCTATGGCACTTAACAACAACAACAGTCTTAACCAAAGCAGATCACCAGGTAGGCCTATCTTCTGTGGCACAGCTGGGCAGCTTCGAACCTACATCCTTTTGGTTAATAGCTGACCTTTAACTATTGTTACTGGAGCCCAAACAAAGCTGGGGCCAAGGAGGATGAGCTGCTGGGCTGCGCTGGATGGAGTAGGGAAATGATCATAATAAAAAGAACCCAATAAACTTAAAAACACAAGCTTTTTCTTCTCCTACCCTCCAATCTCCTACCAGTGCCTCCCATCGGGGGGAAGCCAGTCAGCATAGGAACCTGGGGAACTCAGGCCATTGAGGGAAAGGAGTCAGGGGGCAGAGCAAGGTTCCCAATGCTGCGTGAGGACAGACTGTTAATGCTCATGGTGTTCCCTGTCAGGTCTCCTCCACAAGAGGCTGAAATTAAAACCTTAGCTGCCGTCTTCTAAGCATTTATTATGTACTGTTAACACTCACTGCTCATTTATTCATCATACCAACCCAGTGAGATATGATCAGCATCGATATATAGAGAGGACTCAGTGGCTCAGAGACACTGAGTAACTTACCCAAAGACACACAGCGAGGCTGGGATTCTAATAGACGTCTACCCATTCATGAAACCCTGGTACTTATCCACTCTGCCCTCTTGCAGACTTGATTTTCTTTTAGAGATAATGAGTGAGAGAGCTTCCCCCCCCCCCCCAAGCTGCTGAGGTGAAAAGGGAATACCTGGCAAAGAAGAAACATGTCCAGCGGCCCGAGGTGTAAAGGAGCCTGCTGGGTTTGAGAAGGGCAGGTAGCTGTATATCACTTGGGCAAAAAGTGTGAAGAGGAAGTCAGGGCCAGACCATAAGGGGGCTGTGTTCTGTGCAAAGGTCCCTCTGCTGTTTGCTTCCTACCCCAACGGTTGGTGGTGAGACTGACCATCCACTTGTTGGATGATGGCGGAGATTCAGCAAGCTCAGAAAACTGTGACAATTCTGGGCATTATTGCTCTCAGGAGATAACTAGAACTGGCAAGAACATGCTTGCAGCAAGCAGATGTCTGAGGCTGGTCCCCAAACAAAGAAACTGCGTGAAGTCCTGATGCAAGGCCCAGGTTATGACCAGCAGCATGGACAGGGTGTCATAAGGGACCCCATCATTGTCCCACTATCGAGAAAACATAGAGAACAGGGCATAGCATCTCTGCCCTCAGGAAGCTTCCAGGCCCATGGAACACTCCAGACTAGAAGGTGCCATCCATGCTGGAAGCTGACATCGGTATTATATGGGAAAACCAAGGATGGAATCTTTATCGAAGTAGACTACCTTTTCTTCAGCAAAGCAGCTGGTGGGGTTTGTACTCCAACTTTTCAGCTAGCAGGCTAACACTTTAACCACTACACCACCAGGGAACTGCTTTCAATGTTTTAGACAAATATTTATACTGTAGGACTTAAACCCATGGGCTTAGAATTAGCTATAACTGAATTCAAGTTTGGCCCAGCTGTGTTACGTTGGGCAAGTTACTTAACCTCTTTTAAGTCTCAGCTTTCTGTTCTGAAGACGTACAAGAGCTATCTCACTGAAGTAAGTAAGGCCTTTAACCAGAGACTCCAGTTTAGAAAGGTCCAAGATCTATGTACACAGCACAGCAGCGGAGATCACAGAGCGCCCCCTTCAGGACAGTGACATTAGAGGGGGTACTGTGAGCCTTCGGGTACAAGCTGCAGTGGCTGAGGGTTGGCAGGTAGATTCTACCCCTGCCCAGAGCAAGCCAAGTTGGAAAAGTACCCCCCCTCCAACTCTGGTGTCCTGCCAGATCCCCAGAGCACACGCCCCCCCCCGTTTCTGACCTTGAAACCTCCCAGGACGCAGCCTCCCAGTTGCTCTCTAGAGCAGCCCACACTGATGCTTGGGCAGCCAAGGAGCATCACCACCAAGAAATAGGGGTACATGGACAGACCGGAGCCTCATCCAGACCTCCAGGGTGAGCTGCGCATCATCAGAACTGGCGCTGTTATAGCCACCAGGAGGCCTTCAAAAAGGAAGGGAAAAAAAAGAATAGACACTGCATTTTAAATTCTTTCGAACCCTCTTAGAATAAAAATGACGAAGCCCTGGGTCTGGTTGGCTGGAGGGACGTAGTTAATGGGCTTTGGGGGAATCGTCACTGATGAATGCAGCTGCTTTGAGCTCCTACTCACCCTTTTATTTGCTCTCTCCCCACACAGAACACACCGGTGGGGACGCCCATCTTCATCGTGAATGCCACAGACCCCGACCTGGGTGCGGGCGGCAGCGTCCTCTACTCCTTTCAGCCCCCCTCCCAGTTTTTTGCCATGGACAGCGCCCGTGGCATTGTCACGGTGATTCACGAGCTGGATTATGAGAGTACCCAGGCCTACCAGCTGACCGTCAATGTCACGGTGAGTCCCACAACCAGGAGAGAAACAGGACCTTCCGGATGAAAGCTGGACTCGGTTCCACAGTTGTGGGGACAGGAGGACAGCTGATACTGCTGCCGTGTCCCTGGCCCTGTGCTGACCACTCAGTGTGTTGTCTCCACTAACTACAGACCTGTGCCATAAGTGTTATTAAGAAACCTGTGTTACTGAGGAGGAAACGGAGGCACAGGGGTAATTCAGTCACCTGATCTAGCACTGGTCACCACCACAGGACATTCATCGTGTGGGGTGTCCTCTTGCTCTCTGGGCATAGGATGAAGAAATGTTAACCTCACCTGTGTCCTGACACCACCCCAAATGCATGAGCCAGGGGGTACCCATGTGTGCCAAATACAGTGCTGGCCCCTGGACATCAAGGATGAGTGGTCAGGAGAGGGGTACTTACCTCATTGTTTGGCTAACACTGTTGAAATTTACACAACTGAGGGGGGAGGCAAGAAGCAGTCCAGTGCTTGGACCACCATGCTCCAGGGGTCTCTGAATCTCCAGAGCATCACAATTGTGTGGTCTTTGTCTCAGCCAGTTGTTTCCCAGGGTTTGGGGGCAGGGCCTGCCCCTGTTTGCTCTCTGCTCTGGGCTGCTGCCTTGGGGCCTCGTTGGATCCATCAGCCACAGCAGGGTGACACATTGACCTGTTGTCTCTTAGATTTCTGTTTACAAAGTTCAGGCAGACCAAGAGCAAAACAACCGTCGTGCATCCTATTGATTCTCCAGTGTCATCCCATGGGCAGGCAGCTGGGGGCTCCAGTTGGCAAGTCGTAGAGCCCAGACCCTGGGGATGGTACCCTGGCCGGGTTGATAGATGGAACTCTGCCTGACTTGGCCAGTATGTAGAGGGGTCTTGAGAGCCCTTGTGCCTGCCTCGGTGCCTCCTGAAGCGGTCACTGCCAACAACACACATACTCATCTCTCCACCACCACCACCCCAACTGCCCACACCAGGTATGTTGTAGTTGCCAGGGAAGAGGAGTGTGCTACATTTCCCACTCAGTGTCACCCACTCCCCTCCTGAAGATCCTTCCCTTCTTCCATTGGCTGCACTGAACACTCTTAAGACAACCAGGCCTTCCTTCTTCTGCAAGACCTTGCATCTGTGCCCCCTGGAGAGCAGGAGCCAGCACTAGGTTTGTTGTAGTGTGAGGAAGGCCTGGGACTCATCAGTCAGTCACCCTAGGCAAACCACTGCAAACCTAACCTGAGGACAGTCCATCCTCAAACCCAGATCAGAGAATGTACAAGCACAAGGCTCCATAGAAGGTATTCAACTCGGATAAGGAAACTGAGACTCTAAGAGCGAAGAGAACTCAGCAAGTGAGGGTCCGAACTCATGTTGGGAACCCAAGTCAAGACAGAGAAGGGTAGGTTTTTACACCAAAAGAATATGAGTTTGAGTCCTGTTACACACTTACCAGCTATGTGGCTCTGAGCAAATTATTTAGCATCTTTGAGTCTCTGTTCCTTTGATTTGAATAATAGAAGAGTGATGCCGACAAATGACAAATGCAAGTGAGGTGCCTCGCAGGGTGTCCGGTATATAGTCTTTATCACATTGTTGTTAAAGGTTGTCAGGTGCCCTGTGTAGAGTTTCTGGGGTGCAGCTGGTGGGTTTGAACTACTGATCTTACGATTAACAGTCCACTGCTTATCCTACAGTGCCACACCAAGATTCCTTATTCATCACGTAATGGCTACTTTATATTGAACATTGTTATTTTAGGGACGTAGCTGTGTAGTTTAGGGAAATAGGTTTCTAGTTTTCTTTCTTGATGAGTTTTTGTAAGACTAAATCCCTAACTAACTAGGAAGATTTTAACCTTGTCCGCCTGGCCACAAGGGAATTCCTTCCCATAGTCCCTCAAATGTCATAGGCCATACAGCGCCCCCTGCCGGATCTTCAAAAAAAGTCACTTGACCAATTAAATCCAGAGTTGGGACCTGGGTTCTAGAGTAACCCCTTCTGCAGCCAAAGGACTCTGAGAAGTCCCTGTCCCAGTCATTTCCCTGCTGTTCTGGGACAAGGCAAGTGCCCCTCAGCTGACAGCAAAGGAGCTAAGGATAGCACCATCTCTTCATCTGAGCCAGTTGTCCTTCCACCAAGTGTCTGAGTGGGGCAAGAGATCCGGTTCTGCCCAGCCCTGCATTATGACACTGGAGAAAACACCGTTCTCTGAGCCTGGGGGCCCTGTTGTGTTTCCTGTACTGGTCAGAGAATCACTGTGGGTTCTGAGAGCTCTTGAACATCCCATATCCTACCCTGCAGGAGAGCATGAATACATACGTGCACCTGTATCTCTGTGCACACATAGACATGCTCACACGTGTGTTACATGTGTTGGGCGTGTCTGTTTATCCCTGTGTGAATATGTAAGCATGTGTATGTGTACGTCCTCAGCATCACTTAATCTAAGGTTGTGCCCTCTCTTCATTCTCTAGGATCAAGACAAGACCAGGCCTCTGTCCACGCTGGCCAACTTGGCCATCATCATCACAGATGTTCAGGACATGGACCCCATCTTCATTAACCTGCCTTATAGCACCAACATCTATGAGCATTCTCCTCCGGTAAGACCCTCCTGGCCCCTGTGGGATTTCCCTCTGGGCTACTACTAGGGATGGGGACCCTGTTTGGTGGAATGGGTTTCTTCTTGGCACGTCCTATCTCCCAATCCTTATGCATGACAGTAATGGGTCTCCTAACAAATGAAACCCCCAGCCCTATTTACACTACACCCCATCTCCCGAGTCTCTCACTTCATTCATCTTTAGAGGGTTCTGCGTGGTAAAGAACAAAGACTTAGTAGTGTAAGTGAAGGGCAGAAGTTCATAAAGGGTTATGTGGAGTAATAGGGATACCCATGGAAATTCTAACTTGGGCTGGGAGGTAGTTTTTTGGGTTTTTTTTTTTTATGTTTTATTGTGAATTATGTGATAGTTTACATGGGAGAACATTAGTTTTACATTCATCCTATCATATATCATTTCACTGCCACGGTTACAATCCCCTCCATGCATCATCAACTAACCAAAGGGTATATACCTTACAAGCCTGGCCCCAGGTCTTCAGCATACAGTTGCTCTCCCTCTCTGGGTCTAAAGCCCCCAGCTGCTCCATCTCTCCACGTCATCATCTCTGCCTCCATCTCTGGCGTCACTGCTTCTCTGGGTAGGGTCCTGCTCTTCGCCCGCCCCACTGCGGCCACAGCTTGTCCCCCATCCCCCTTACGATCCTGGATTCTGGCTGGGCCTTGTGAGTTCACAGCTCCTCCTGCCCTTCTTAACTGTTCAGTTCTTGGGTTTCTCCAGTCCAGCTCTTCAAGAGAGGCATTTGATTGGTTGTGCCACAAGGTCAGAGGTCACCAGCCAGTCTGCAGATTGGGAATGACTGGGCTTAGAGAGCCAGACCAGGAGACAAGTTGGGTTGCAGACCCCTAAGCAGCACCCAGTGTTGGCCCCCCTCTGTCTTTTCACTCATCTCCATACTTGGAAAGGGTTCTTCAGTTCCCCTCTTTCAAGTCCCAGACATTTCAAGCCTTGATCAGGCCCTCCTCATCCCCTTAAAGTGTAAGCCCAGTAGGGCTGAATGCTATAAGCTGCTCAGCCTTGTGGGCCTGGACCCAGGCGTACCCCACTCCCAGCCTTGCGTCTGTCTCGCCGGCTTCTGCCCAGACCCCTCCGGCTCCCCTCACCCCCTTTATCTGCGGCTCCCAGCATGTATGCCTCACTCTATCAGTGTATCATGCCAATGCCTCATCTAAAGTGTATATATTACCTAATAAAATCCTTCTTATTTGGGATTATTGCATCAAATTTTAATTTCCTCACTCGAGCGGCAGCATGTCAGCCTGCCCGTCAGTGAAGGGCCGATAGAAGGTGAGAGGAGCGGATAAACGGCACAAATTACTGCCGGCCGATGCCTATCAGCCCTTTGACTGGAATTGACTGGAATTAAGGACTGAGAAATAGGATTTTTTACCTCAGAATCTGTTGTGGCAGCTCTTGTTGGAAGTCCCCTTCTGTCCCACTGGCCTCCTCTTCCCAATGCAAATGCAGGTTCACCTTGCACACAGTTTGACCTGCTTAGGGCAATGGGGCGGAGCAGAGGGGGGGCCAGCTGATGGAGAAGATGGCCTTGACCCACATGTCCAGTAGATCCCATTCATGTCCTGTGTTAGCTACTGTCCTGGCAAGGGCTTCTTTGAAAGGCCTCAGAAGGGAAAAACACCATGCCTTCTAGAAAAGTCCGAGCTTCTCTCACCTCTGCCCCTACTGTCCTACCAATGCCCAAGCCACAGTTCACACTTCGTTGGAGCTCACCCACCCCTCTCCTTGGCGGAACCACAGGGGTCAGAACTTGGGACCCTCTCACCTCTGCTGAAGAGAGATGGGACTCACCTCTAGTCTCGGTTACCCCACCTCCCACAACATCCTCTGGCCCTAATCAAGTGGGGAGCCCTCTGAGCCTCCATTTGGTCACATAACCTACCCTGTGGGGTTGTGAGGGTTGAGTGAGGGAGTCTGTATTGATGTCCACTGCAGCGCGCAGCACACAGTAGGTGCTCAATCCGTACTCTTTCTCCTGTGGGGTTAGCTTTTCTGACAATGTACAGAGAACTCCTTACCTCTGGAGGGGGTCACTAATCTACGGTGTCCAGGAATCTGAATTTGCCAAGATTGTTTTACAAATATCATGCGTATGTGCATTGTCTGGAAAGAGGTGCCTTTGCTTGCATCCAATGCTCAAAGCAGTTTGAGGCCTCAATTAGTAATTGCAGTCACTTTTACAAGTATTTTTTGCCGACGTGGCAGGCTCTGTTGTAAATCTATGCATGTATTACATCTGTTGTTGTTAGGTACTGTCAGGTGGGTCCCAGCTCATACAGCCCTGTGTCTAACAACACGAAACACCGCCTCGTCCTGAGTCAGCCTCACAATCACCTCTCTGCCTGAGCCCATTGCTGTAGCCACTGCCTCATTCCATCCCATTGAGAATCTTCCTCTTTTCTGTTGACCTTCCTATTTTACCAAACATGATGTCCTTCTCCAGGGACTGGTCCCTCCTGATAACATGTCCAAAATACATGATACAAAGCCTCGCCATCCTGGCTTCTAAAGATCATCTGGCTGCACTTCTTCCAAGACAGATTTATTCATTCCTGAGGAGTGTGATATGATTATACCCATTTTATGTTGCTGTTAAGTTACCGTCGAATCACTTTGAACTCATAGCAACCATGTATAGGGGTATAGATGGGGGGAAAGGCAGTAAGCAGTTAAATAACTTACTCAAAGAATTCAAACCCAGTCCATCTTGCAATGGAGTCTTACTTCATAGCAAGGAGTCAAGACTCCGCAGGCCTACACACCTGGTTCTCCCCACAGAGCCTGGGATGGTCCATGCCCTGGAATGCACCCCAGCAAGGCTGCAGCACAGTGCCCCTCCTGGTCTTCCACCTTCTTGTCTTTGGAAATAAGTTTCAGTATATTGAAAATATAATCACTGAACCGGGTTCCCAAGAGCCCCCATTCCTCCCTGCTAATTCCTTCTCATAACATTTCCCATCTTTTTGGCTGTACTTGTATTAAAAGCTCAGGGTTTTATTAAAAATGGATATATTTACCCAAAAAGAGATGAAACTCCAAACTTTGTCAGGAGACCGTCAGAGCTCACTTTGTGGAATCTCACCTGGAGGAAGCCCTAGATAGGGACGCTATGAGTTACAATCAATTCTATAGCAATGATTTTGTTTTTTGTGTTGGCCCTTCCTGGACAGAGCAAGCCTCCACCTCTCCTGAGTTCTGTCCACCCAGGAGGACTTTGGATAGCCCAGGAAGGCCCAAGGGAGATGCTCACAGGCTCTGAGGACTGAGGGTTCATTGGCCACCAAATCCTGGCTTTGTGCATGACATCGCTGGTACTGTTGACCTGTCTTGCTGAGGCTCACTGTCCTAGGCCCAGCTCATTCCAGTCTCTGGGTGGTGGTACCCCTGGGGGTTTAGTGCGTAGTGGCCATCTGGAATGGTGCTCTTAGAGGTACTGGGCCCACGTAGCCTGCAGGCTAGTCAGAGCCACATATGTGGAATCCAGGCGGATGGGGCTTTGTCAGAAGGAGCTCTGGGTGTGCAGGGACATCTTGTTTCCCTACTGCTCCTCCATCCCCAACTCCACTGTGGGCTGTTCCTCAGACTAAGAGGAGCTGGGTGGGGGTGCGGGTGCATGATAGCATCGGTAGGGTTGAGCCTCCCCAAGGACACTTTGGTGTTTGCCTGGGGCTTCCGACTGTGTCCAGGGACAATGGTACCTACTTCCTGAGCTGCCTTGCAGCCAGGTGTCCATCTAGGGATGGTGCTTGCACATCTACACGGAAGACGGCAGTCTAGGGGCCAGGCAACCCACCTTAAGTCATCCTCTCTCCCACCCAGGGTACAACGGTACGCATTATCACTGCCATTGACCAGGATAAAGGACGTCCCCGGGGAATTGGCTACACCATCGTCTCAGGTAAGGCCCAGCTAGCTCCTGTGTCCCCACCATGGTATGTCAGACTTTGAGGGGCTAAGGAGAGGTCTGTGGGTGTATGAGACACAGGGATGAGGGACCTGGACCCAGGGACAATCCTGCCTAGATGGAGTAGGAGCAGCAGGTGAGGTAAAGTGGAGCTGGGATGCCAGTGGAGGCTAAGCTGCGTGCATACTGCCCAGTGGAAAGGCAGAACAGGTGTGTGTGCCATGGCCTAGGGTCTGTGGCTTTGCGGAGTAGGGTGGACAGTGGTGGCTTCCATCTAACCTCCTTGGTTTTTCTTTTCTTGATGAAAAGGTGGAAGCTTTTACATCATTTTAGAACCAACAGAGTTGCAACTTGGACAGATTCCGTGCTCTTTCCACAGTTCCGTCGCATTTCTGACCACTAGAAATTCATTTCTCTCTTGGAATGTTGCAGGGGGAGGCACGTAAGCCTTTCTTGCCCACCCAGATCCCTTGGTTGAATAGGATAGTGACTGACTAAAGAGATGCTTCCAGGTGATGAAATCTCTGACTCCCACCCCCTCCCAAAGATTGAAAACTTGCAGCTCCGTTGGCGAGTCCCAGGGCTGGGTAGTTCAGGAGCCACAGAGCTGTTGGGAGCCCACCTAGGGTCTCCGGTTCCTACCTCTCTCCCCAGATACACACTCTACACATAGCCTTCCTGCTTACCCTGGTGGAGGACCAGCCTGGTGCATTTTGGAAGGTCAGGCTGATGGCCACGGGTCAGGTCACCAGTCATTTTCTACCCTATTGCCCTACTAGTCTCCCATACCCCCACAATCAGGGAGTGGCATTTTGGGGACATTTCTGCCTAAATCTCAAAAGGCAGCAAGGTTTAGTGATTTAGGAGATAGAGGATTGAGTCTCTGGAGCCAGATTGTCTTGAGCAGGCCACTTAGCTTCCCTATGCCTCAGATTTTTCATCCATAAAATGGGAACAATGAGAATACCTACCTCAAGGTGCTTAAAGAGTAAATCGCTAAATTAATGTAGGCAAAGTGCTAACTAGGAACCCTGGTGTGGCGCTGGACTGCTAATCACAAGGTCGGCTGTTTAAACACACCAGCTGCTTATCCTATACAGGGTCACTATGAGTGAGAACTTATCCAAAAGCACACAACAGCAATTACTATTATTACTGCTTTTTGTTGTTAAGTGCTGTGGAGTCTATTCTGACACATAGCAACCCCATATAGGGTTTTCGAGGAGCAGCTGGTGAGTTTGAACTGCCGACCTTGAGGTTCAAACTGGTCTTGCCCCCTATCTTACAGCGCCACACCAGGACTCCATTATTACTGGTAATAGCTAATAATACTCTAACACCTAGTGTGTGTCTCTTCTTCTCCTTACTGCCTTTGAGCTAGCTCCAGACTTGTCCTAGGGTGTTAGGACGGAGAGCAGGGAGCCAGGACCTGCCCAAGGTCATGTCCACGCAGGATTTTCCAAGGAGACATTGTGAGCCCATCCTGCAGGGCACTGTCTCAGACTCTGCAGCCAGCTCCACCTCCTCACCCCTCCCTGGAGCCGTCCTTGATGCCTGGGCTGGGCTCTGGGAACAACTGCCTGCTGCAGCATCCTTTGGGATTTCCTTGGACTTAATCTCCTGGTGTGGCGCTGTGGGTTAATGCGCCAGAATACAAAGACGTTTGAACTGCAAGGTCGGCGGTTCAAGCTTAACAGCTGCTCCTCGGAAACCCTATACAGGGTTGCTTAACAACAACAACAATTTCCTGGCCTAGGTCCTTAAGTGCAAATGGCTGAGAAGAGAGACCTAGGATGTGAAACCACAGGGAGGGGGGATGTATGTGGAGGTGAGGGTTGTTGTTGTTAAGTACCATCCAGTCAGGTTTCAGAGGAGCGGATTGGTGACCTTGTAGTTAGGGGTCCAGTGCTTATCCTACAGTGTCACACCAGGATTCTGCAGGAGAGGTGGGGAGGCAGTAGTTTCCAGAAGTTCTGGAGTCCTTAGCATACATAGCTTTATAGGATTCCCACTGCCAGCACAGATGTGCCTGGAGGGCTTTTAGAAAGAATGACAAATGGATTTCCTCTCCCATGCCAACTTTGATTGATTAGTAATGGCTGCTTGATGAAGCTCTTGCTGCCAAACAGGCTCAGTGCAGAAGAGTGCGGTTTTCAATTGGTAGGGTCTGCCCTAGGTCTGGAAAGGGAAGGCACAGAATCTTACCATCCTTGGTAAGTAGGCACTTGCGCTATACTCAGAGGTAGCTCTTGATTGCCCTCTAACCACCTCAAAAGTATTAGCTCTACCACCACCATACCCTCCGAGCCCCAACTGGATGACCAGCAGTTTGAGGAATGGGCAGTTCTACTGGCACAACTGGACTGGTCCCTGACCTAATGCCTGCTGCCTTCTCCCTGGGAGCCTCCCTGAGTTGAAGGCTAATGGAAAGGAGGGCAGTGTCCCAGGGAGAGCATGGACAGTAGCTAGGATTTGACCTTGCTTCTTGTGATCTCCTGCTAACCTAAACGTTGGTTAAATCCACCCAGAAACACCACAGAAGAAAGGCGTGGTAATAAAGATTACCGCCAAGAAAACTGGGGCAGCTCTATTGTGTGACACATGAGATTGTCATGAGTTGGAATTAACCTTTCACAGCCACAGGCTTGGTTTTGGTTTGGTCTACCTCCGTCAGCCAGTGCCGACCTTGCTGAAAGGGACTTTGTCTGTCAAGGGCCTGATCCCACACACCTGCCTCTTGGTAGCGTTCGGCTGCAGCCATCCCATGGGTGCCTGTTTGGCTGGCTGCAGGCGGAAGGGGTGGCTCATGCCCAGCCTTACCCATGAGGACACCTTCATAGCCAATGGCCCCATGCTGGCCCTGAGTGCCCACGGGGAGTCTGTTCAAGCCCTACGTGCTCTGGAACCATTTGGTTTGAAGGAAAGTCACAAGGGCTTCTGGGGCACTGTGGTACCTTGAGAGTGGTCTTGGCTGGTGGCAGCTCTGTGTGCAATGGGTGAGGCTTCCCCTGCCCCACTGATCCCAGGCACACGGTTTAAGCTGCTCCACTGCTCAGAGACCGGTCCCTCCAGACGTCTGGATCAGCCCTGCAGCCAGAGGGATTTATGTCTGCACAGGAGCTGTTTCCCAGTACTAATGACCCCTCTGTTTTGCCAAGAACAAAGAGGCCTTCAGCAATAAGTTATGGCTCCGTTGCCATCAATTTGTTCTCATCCCTCGTGACCAAACTGAGACTGAAGAATGACAAGGTTCTTTTCCATAGAGTGTCTGCCATGTGCCCCTTCTGCTCTGTCCCGCTGGGCCTGTGCACACACCAGGGGCAGCATTTCCTCCAAGGCCAGACCACACCAGGGCTCTGGGGAGATCTAGTCAGCACCGGCCAGCCAGCCTATGGCCAGAGCAGACATCCTTTTCAGCCTCATCCCTCCTTTGCCATATAGAGAGCATCCTGCCTCAAAAAACAGCTGCATCCTATCCCACCACTGAGCACTGAGCTGAGAGTCCAGAGTTGTAAGTCTGAGGCCAGCTCTGCTAACTGCCAACAACACCTCTGTCCACCCCATGGTCAGCATCCATGGACTGAAGTTAAAAGTTCCAGTGGTGGGTAAGATGGTGCTGGAGAGATGATTTCAGTTGCTGTCAAGTCAGTTTCCACTCATGGCAACTGTAGAAATGTGCTCCCCAGAGTTTTCAATGGCTAATTCTTCAGTAGTTTACCAGGCCATTCTTCTAAGGCTTCTCTGGGTAGATTCGAACCACCAACCTTTAGGTTAGCAGCTGAACATGTTAGCCATCTGCAGCACTCAGGGGCTCCCAGAGAGACTATAAAGGGCCGTAAAATAGAAAGGAACTATCAGGAGCCCTCCAAGCTTTTGTTCATTCATTTCAGGAGAGACAAGTGGTTGAGCGTACAAGCTCCAGAGCTGTGGTTGTTGCCTGAGACAGTAACCACCAGCCATGCTATCCAGTGTGTAGCCCATAGGGTTAGCCAACTCTGCAAATGTAGTGTCTTAGTTATCTAGTGGCATTAAACACTGGACTGTAATGTAAGCTTGGTTTGAACCTCAACGTTGGAGGTTCAAACTTACCAGTCTCTTCTTGAAACCGTATACAAGGTTGCTATGAGTCTGAACCAACTTGATGATACTTAACAACAAGAGGTTATGTAGTGCCACTGTAACAGAAATCCCACAAATGGGTGGTTTTACCAAACAGAAATACATTCTCTCAAGGTCTGGAGGACAGAAATTTAAATTCAGGTTGTGGGTTTTAGGGGAAGGTTTCTTCCCTCTGTTGGCTCTAGGGGAAGGCTCTTGTCTCTTCAACTTTTTTTTCTTGGCTCCTTTTCATATGGGATGCCATCTCTCTTCCCCCGTCTTTGCCTGTCTGCTTTCTTGTTTAATCTCTTTTTTTTTAAAGTTTTTATTGTGAATTGAGTGATAGTTTACATGGGAGAACATCAGATTTACACTCATCATTTCATTGCAGATTACAATCCCCTCCGTGCACTGTCATTTAACAGTATTTGCTTCTATTCCCTCTGATTTTTTTTTTTTTTTATGTACACAAAAACACTCAGGAATATAGAATCATTTATCGTTTAATCTCTTATATCTCAAAAGAGGTTGGTCTAAGATATCACCTGCCATGAATACTGTCTCATTAACATAACAAAGAACTCCATGGGGTTATAATCTCTCCAGCAGTTGGTATTGACCACACACTATTGGGGAGACACCATTGAATCCATAGCACACGGCTAGTCTGAATTGAGTTGTGCTGTTTCAGGATTTTGAAGACAGTATAACAAAAGATTGTAAAGTAACTTATCCTACTGTTTTATTTGATTCGTGTTGGAAATACAATATTTTGGACATACTGGGTTAAGAAATCCTGGTGGCACAGTAATGTTTGCAGTTGGCTACTAAGGAGCTCTGGTAGCGTAGTGATTACGAATCGGGCTGCGAACCTTAAGGTCAGCAGTTCGAAACTA